ATGTGATAGAAACCCACTCAAAGATGTGAGAGAAACTCAAAGTCTTTAATAATGAGGTTTGGTTAGAGGTTCAAGGGAGGTTTATCCAAGATCATCAAGATATTGGTAGAGCTACTGAAGAAGCTTTTAAGTTTGCTTGGATCAAGAGACATCAGCTAAGTATTTGAAGGAGTCCAAGAAGAGGTTGAAGTAAAACATATGTATTAGCTTTGCTAGATCAAAACAAGAGTTTTTATATTTACTATGATGCACCTTGTCAAGGCGTGAAATGTGTCCTTACACAAGAAGAAAAGTAGTGGCTTGTTCATTAAGTCAACTAAGGAAGCGTGAGTTGAACTACCTAACATGTTATCTGGAGTTATCCATTATGAAGCATGGAAGTACTATCTTTTTGGAAGTAAAAGTGACATCTAGGTGGATCCCAAGAATCTACCAGACATCTTCACTAAGTTGGTCTTGAGCTTGTGTTATCCACGTTGGAATGAAATTGATTATGACTCTGAAAAATGCTATCACTTCGAGGAGTAAAGTCATGGCCGATGCCTTAGCAACAGAGAATGGTGCTAAGAAGGTTCGGGTGACACTAAGGACTAAGAATTGTATTCCCAGCTCGAGCAACTTGACTGAAATCGTTAATGTTTTGAAGATCGGTAGTAGAATTTCCTTCTGACCAAGAGAATCGTAAGGCTCCATTGGAAGGTGGATATTTTAAGAAAAAGAATTGATAGTATGGGCTAAAAAAGAAATGTGGGCTAGTGATAGGAGATACCTAAGAGTTGTTCAAGGTGCCTGTCAGAATCTTGGAATCAGTTTAGCAAGATACTTGGAGTAAGGTTCTTAGGTTTTGCAAAGTAAAGAAAATCTTTATCAAGAAGATGGAACTAGTTAAGGATGTGAAGATCCAAAGGCAGAATATCTCTATCTCATGGACCACGGTCTTCCGAATCTAGAGGATGAGATTCATCTTAAGGGCGATAGAATTGTAACACCCTAAAAATTTCAATTTTGAAAATAGGTTTAAAAAGATTAAATTATGAATTTCGGTGCTCATGAAAATGTATAAAAATAATATTTACATTAAATTAAAATTTATCATAAGTCTTAGCAACATTTTTGTGCATTCATGCTGGTGCATGTATTTTATTGTACTGTGTGGTTTTGATCAAAAATCCAAAATGAATTCAAATGCTTTTGAAGTGAGTTTGAAAATGCTTTTGAAAAATGGTTTAAGAAATTGAAAGCCTCACCCTCTCCTCCTTTTTCGGCCTATAGGCCCAGACCGGCCTGTCCCTATTGTCTCCCCCGCATGGGCCCAACGGAAAGGCCGGCCCGCTCTCTTTCCTTCTCTCCCCATTCCTGACCGTGGCCCAGCTCAGCTCCACCCAGCCTAACTAGGCTGCAGCCCGCGCGACCGCTGAGTCCCCTCTCCTCTCTTTGTTGGATGACAAGCCGGTCCCCCTCCTACACTCGCCGACAGCACAGGCCCATTGTCGGTCATCCCCTACCTCCGTTCATGTCAAGCTCGGACTCTACTTCCACCGCCAATCTCCGAATCTTTTAGGATTTGTCGTGCGCCCCAAGCCCTGCGCCCTATAAAGCCAAAGCCCTACGTGCGCCACCCCAAATAACTCTAGCACAGCCGCCCTTGTGCCCCAGAGCCCCAACGCCGTCGCCAAAACCCTAGATGCTGCCGCTGTTGCTCAATCCACCGCCGTGCCGCTTTGCCGTCACCTCGAGCTGCCGGCCCAGCTTCGGAAGATGGTAAGCGAACTGTCGATACTTTCCTTTCTCTCCCTCTCGCTCTTAGTACCTCGCACGACCTCGTCGTCGAAGCCAAGCCACGTAAGCATGCTGTGCGCCATCTTCGTTGACTGACCGCTGGCACAAACACCCTAGATGGATCCGCCGTGCTCTCCTCCCCCTGCCTGTGCTATCCCCATGGCTAGTGACGGCAGAAACGTCGTTCCGACGAAACTCCGACGAGGAGTAGAGCTTTCCGGCCATGGCGCCGCCGTGACCCTAGCCCTGGCCACTATACCCCTTCGGCTGCAATTTTTGCATAACCCCTCGGGTTCTTAGTTTTCTAACCCAAAGTCCAAAGCGCCCTCTCTAAAATACGTTTTCATGATCTCAAAAGCATAGTTTAGTTCGATATATTTACAAAATTGCCATCCATCATAATTTCTACGTTTTAGTTCCGTTTTGATCCATTCAAGTTGTGTTAGGTTCGTAATTTCATAATCTACATGTTCATACTACTGTTAGATATGTTGTCAACTTATAAAATTCGAGGTTAAATTTAATGTATTATTTTATTAAAGGAAATCTTGTTTAACTCATATCTTCTACGTTTTAGCTCCGACTTGACATATTCAAGTTGTGCTAGATTCATTACAACGAGATCTACGTGTTAGTAGCAATATTTATCATGTCACTATTTCTAGAATTTTATAACTTGAATAATAATTATGCAACTAGATTTTATAAATAAAATATGATTTATTTTACTTTAGTATTGTAATTCAAATCTAAATTTGACTTAATTCAATTTATATAAGCTTTTAAATAGTTAAAACACATGAAGCTTATAGTTTTATATTTTCTCTTATGAGTAGATCTTTCGGTAGCCGTTTCTTTCAAACCATAGCTCCGATTAGCGTGTCTCTCGTGACTTTGTGTTCGTAGCAATGCGTAGAATCATGTTTCAAACTCTTTTACTTATTTTTCTATGATTAGTGTATTGTTCTAATGTAGACGTAATTGTATGCTATGCATGTATGTGTATGGATGTTTGTGTGGTTCTACGATTACGTCCAGTCGGTGAGATATACGTGGTGATCAAGAAGAAAAAGAAGAAGGACGTTGAAGATTAAAGCTTACCAAATGATCGGTGTTTTAAGACAAGTATAGCATGGGATCTTCCTTGTTGTCCTATACACCTTTAATCATTTAATTCATGCTGCATGTGTCTACCTTGATTACCACTAAGGATTTCCTAGTACTTTGCTATCTTGTACCTTGTCACTTATGGGGTATTCCATTAGGGAGTATGATGCTAGTGCTCAATTAAAGAACATGATCTTGTAACTTGACTAATGGTATATGCAATAAACGCTAAAAGATGATTTTTAGCATCATTGAACCAGGGGGCTAGAGCATTGGGCTATTTTTATGATGCTCTAGATTCCTCTCCCTAAGGACTTATTTGTAAGTGATTATCTAGGACTTACAGTATAGCTATGAGGGCTACATGGCTCTGGCTTTAGCTCAGTATGAGGACCTTTTCTAACTTGTTAGAGGTTACCTTTATTGGTGTAAGAATGGCTTGCCAAATCGGGTATAGAACAGCCTCTACTCTTATGTGTATAGCCGTGATGAAATTATGCCATTCGACAGGGGGTCCCAATATCTGTTTGCCGAGTGAATCTAATGGTCCTAACTTGTTAGACGAACCTTTGAAAGGCTTCATAGTGAACCCTGCCAACCTTCCTTGATAGTGGGTCAAGAGGCTGATCACCTCAGGTGAAAGGGTAAATCGGGACACAGTGAAAGTATACAACCTCTGCACAGTGTAAAACTATTATAACAGCCATGCTGACGGTCACGAGCGGTCTTGGAACCCTTACGAAATAGATGATGAACATTGATGATACGAATGATGAAGATGCTCACTAATGATTACTATTTATGCTATTCATTACTCATGTTTACCTGATCATGTGTTTATATGGGCTTGTGATAAACTTGTTGCCACCCAATTGCTAAAAGATGACTCATTAAAAGCTAATTGCAGTTAAACCAGTGTCAGCCTTTTGGGCCTCATGAACCCCATATTATATTTGTTGAGTACAACATGTACTTACGCTTGCTTTACTTTTTAAATCTTTAAAAAAATCCCGGATGGGTACCAGATTGCTAGAGTTTGGAGGAATTAGGCTTGTCATCAACCAGTCAATTGTTCCTGTGGATTTAGAGTCTTCGCCTGAAGATCAGAGTTGTCTTTCCGCTGTCCATACTCTGAGGTTATATTCTTTCTACTAATACGCTATGTATTTAAGCATTGTCTATTGATATTACCCTTATTTGTAGCTATATGTGAGATTTGACTTCCTGGGCTCACATATGGTGTGTATCTGGTTTCGTTCTTAAAACCGGGTACTACAGTACCTCATGGCAGCTGGGAATAAACTGGGGAAGGAGAAGTCATCACTGGGATCACCCTTAAGTCCGGTCAGTGGGTTCCTTTGGAAGTATGTCAGGTAAAGCCAGCTAACATACATCCTGGACACCAAAGTTGGCAGGAAGTTAGTGGAATTAGGCACGATGAAGGCCATGATACTTGAGAAACATACAACAAAGAATGGCGCCACTGCAGTAGTAAGAGAGAAACAAAGAGATAAGATAACTCAGCATCAAGCTTGTAAGTGTCTGCGGAATAAGTACACTACTACAATGAGTATACAACTGTAGGCTTAGAAATGGCTATTTGGTATACCTTTGCCTTTGTTTTCTAGAAAAAGCACATAGGAAGCTCAAGGTTTGGCAAGAGCTGCTTCAGGGCCACAAGAAAGCCAAGGCAACCGTGGAAACCAGAAAGTGGTGTGACACTACATGTCATGTTATAGGAAAGTCAGGTAATGTCCTTAGATAGTAACTTTATTTTCTCAGGAAGTAGTATGTTGCCATGTAACCTAGTAACTCAAATGACGCAATAACAACTAAAAGTGCTCGTGTGGTATGATTGTGTCTAAATTCCAAAGATTTTTAATTTGTGAATAGAAGAGTAGCCAATTGATATAGTTATTCTGCAGTTCTTACTGGCAGACGTAAGAGTATGATCTTATTCATTAGAAGCAGATGTCAACAAGAGCACATCAATCGACCATTTTGATACTCAACGCAGGCATGGACAGTAAGCACATTAAAACGAACAAGAGCAGTGCCAGGTAATGAGTAATCAGTAATAGTCACATCTGATAGACTGAATGACAGTTTAAAACTTATAGGAAGCTCTCCTTTCCGGTGACATAGAAGAGTCCAATAGCAAAGCAGAACGCAAGAATGCCACAGATGGAGTTGACCAAAATAATGAACTTCAAGAATTCCTTGCGGCCCCAAACTGGTTCAATGTCCTTCCCACAAAAGAGAAGACCAAGAGAACTGCCAATGGCATGTAAAAGGGGAAATTATGTTGTTACCATTAAGAACATAACAAAGAAAACCATTTTATGATGCCAGAGAACTGCCACTCCTTGTCTCTCTAATTTTGGAGCGTAATATGGTGGCAAGCACCTGGCAGTTTCACTATTCTAAAGTGAGGAGCGAATTTTAACAGCATATGTTTGCTTCAGCTTGAACATTTCATTTTGGGGGTTGTTACTACAAGGCTGTGCGCTAGGAAGTTCAGGTTGAGAGATAGCAAATAACCCCCCAAAATTAGGGGCCCCAAATACTGCTTTGCATATAATTGGCAAATTAGAAGCAGGTAACTTGCAGGTTGCAAATGACCAAACGTGTAGCTGTTCTTTCGCGATAAGTCCAGACGGCTATGTTAGTCCTCTCTCTGCACCCCACTCAATCCTTGTTGACTTGCTGCTGCAAATTTCTTTTGACAATCATCGTAAGAATTAATTACTCCCCTCTTAACTCTCATCAGACCCATTCAACCCTTTTTGGGATGCAGGAAGTACTACGCGTTTTCCCCCACAGTAACCCTGTTCTGGTAATATTCATCTATTTTATTCTCGAGGTGAAGGACATGCCAGGAGTCTCTGAAAACACAACTCACAAAGACATAAGCAAAGAAGTTGTTTGTTGCCCAGCATGAATTTAATATATCTATCGTTCAATCTTTAGTTCTGCAAAAGATTATCCACAGAGATAACATTTGAGATTTCATTTTGAAAATACTGTCATGCTTTCTTTTACTGCCTGACATGATATTTTTAAGAAATATGCATTGTAAATGGAAAAGACAGACAATTTAGCTATTATCATTTCTTAAACGTAGGGCCTAACTATGCATTTTGCACCAGGCCACCAAATTCTGCTGTTATGACGGGAGCTCAATATCAGAGGAGGGGGGCTGCTCGTGGCTAGCAGGCCCATGCAAGAGAAGGCCGCACGGCCCAGGACGTTTCCTATTATTAGAGAACTATTATTATTAGCGTATTTCTATTTTTAGAAAAGAGTATTGATATATGGTTGTAAAGACGATTGGATCGGTTTAAGCAGAAACATATTATTGTTTCCGGCTTCCTCAGGGAGCCGGGAGAAACCCTAGCCGCCTCTACTGTTCACGCGTGAACAGTGCCGCCGCTACTGTAGCCACGTGAAGGTTAGGGCTACAGCAGCAGCTGTCCATCCTCTCTTCACGATCGCTGGCTCCTCGCCGCCGATCAGCCTTCAAACCACGCCCACCGATCGTCCATACGTACAACCTCAGATCGGTGAGGGGCAGAGAGCAGCAGCATATCATCTGCACTATGGCCCTGTGTGCCTACAATATTAGATCTCACAAGTGTTTAAAGTCATGGCGTTCAAACTTTGAATCAAAGTAACATAGGAGACAGCAAATCAGGAGAAATTGAGCTCAACCCTGGGAGGACTTACTCGATGTAACCAGCGGTGAAGCGGTGCTCGATTCTAGTATGTACATACTACAGCCGATGTGGCGACATAATTATTCTTTGAATGAAACCTGCAGAGATCACGAATCAACTCTCGCGGAATAACCAAGAATCCTGCAGAGTAGGAAGCACCATTTCCCGATTTGAAAAACACCCCATTTTGTTGCGAGGACACCATGACCGATCGTGCGTGTAGGTTTCTTGAAAATGAAATTTTGGAGACTGCAGATGGGTGGCAGGCCGGATCACGAGTAGGACACGGACGTACCTACGGCATGAGGGCGAGGAGGGGCGAGCCTTGGCCATCCATGAGGAGGAGCTCGCCGGCGAACACCTTCCAGCGACACGAGTAGTTGTGGACGCGGAAGGCGAGCGTGCCGGCGGCGTCGTAGACGGAGAAGCCATCGGTGCCGTGGAACCCCATGCTGGACCGCTTCCACACCGTGTGGTGTAGCGCCGCCGTCTGCAGCGCGTGGTCGCTGGGGTCTGCGCCGCGGCAGGGAGGAACAAGCGGCAGCGCTGGCGCCAGTGGCCGCATCGTCGTTGTCTCCGCGGCCGAACGAGGGGTGGATCCGGCTCGCCGATACCGCCATCATGCTGCCGCTGGTGCTGGAACGGTCAGGGAAGGTCACCGTGATGCCGATCTGGAAGAGAGAGGAGGGTGATGCGGAGGTGGCCGCGTCCTTGTTCCCAAGGGCCGCTGCTGCCGCGAACGAGTCGTTCACCTCGCGCCGGCAGATCTGGAAGGTGGAGAGAGAGAGAGGAGGAGGAGGAGGAGGGCGATGGAAAGAGCGGAGTTGCGGCTCGGTGGCTCTCGACGTGGAGAAGGGGGAGAGGAGGGGCGGACTCACAGGGCAGACAGACGAATTTCACGGGGGCGGACTCGCAGGTACGACAGACGGATGAAGCGAGACATTTGTCGCAGGCGCCGTGGTTTCTGGACGGGGCTAGGACGTCGCACGGACGGGGTAGGACGTTGTAGCGAGGGAGCGGGGGATCGCAGCAGGCAGAATCACGGTCCACGTTGAATTTCGCATAAAAAGAGTTTATTCTTTAGTCTTTTTAGTTATAAGAGGTATATATATGTATAGACATAGAGTTAGTTTGAAGCCATGAAATTAAGTATTGTTCTATCTGTTCAAAATTATAAGACCTCTCGGCTTTTTTAGATATAAAATTTTTACTATACACCTAGATATACACCGTACGTAGATAAATAGCGAAAGTAACGCACATAAATCAAAATATCTAATAAAATAATTTAGAAAGGAGGAAGTACATTTAGAATCTTTCTGGGGTACGACTCTTTTTAGTCTTAATTAAGCTCCACCACTGTACTTAAGATCAGCAGAATCATATTCCCGTTAAGTCCAATGAGCTGGTCCGCATCTAAATTAGTTTACTAGCGACACATCACAGAGGGAGCAGAGTTGTTTTTTTTCTCTCTTGTGTGCAACTTCCTGGACTCTGCGTGACACACACGTTAATCAAGCAATTAATAGAAAGCTCACCTTTTCTCTTGTCATCAATTGGAAAAGTTGTCTGCCAGCTCTCTGGTTATTTTTAATTGTCTTGTCCCGCGGGCTCTTCAACTTGCTCCCATCTCAAGAACACAGAACGGTAATATATACATTTCTCTTTTAATTAATTGGGAGCCACCATTGCGAGGGGCGTGAAGATCCAGCTGCTGCGCGCGCAGCTTCCTCGGCGCCTACATTAATCTAAGCACTTCGCAAAACACCTACGCTAATCACAAAGTGTATCACTAAGCACTATGTATATGGAGAGCACCAAAGTGGTGTATCAACCCCTCTAGTATCTTCTGTCAGCTCTTTCACACTTGTTTTGTTCGGTTGCGGTCATATTTATAAGCCCCAGTCCAAACTACGCGAGGTGGAGGATGCTCTGCGAGCACTGTCGAAGCACCAATGCGCGCAGGACTTGCTCGAGGAGTTCGTGTGCGCAGAGGTGGGTCCGCTACGAGCTGGCCAGGAGTGGTGCACAGTGTTAGAGGAGAAGTACAAGGATAAGGGCTTAAAGTGCCCAGATATTGAACTGAAGGAGCGGTGGGAGAGGGTATTGTCGAAGGCCAAGAGACGAAAGTTGAGCGTGAAGAGGGTGGCGAATCTAGTGCAGCAGACCACGTCAGAGATAGCTCGATACGTGACACTGCAGAGGTGCATAGCATTTGGGAACCCTTCTCGACCGTCAAAGGTTGAACTGGATGTTTGGTCTTCTCAGTGTGGAATATTCGGATATATTGGCCAGTAGAAAACATCGAGAAACCATATTTGGAAACATATTTGCTAGTAAAGCCTCCTAGATCATCTACGAAGCTCATCGAGAAAAGCGCAGAACGACAAGTAATTGGGGTTGGAAAAGTTTAGAGTTTGAAGAAGTAAAAAGTAAGGTAAATTGATTTATTTTAATTGATTGGAGACCTCAATTACCCATGAGTCTATTGTATATATAGAGAGGTGGTTGTCTTAAGCCACTAGGAAACATATTCATATTAAAATGTACATTTTTATAGTTTTTTTTTTGGATTGGGGAAACATGACTTAAGGCAGGTTTATGTTTTGTACAATGAAATAGGAGAACCTGGCCTTGCCGACTTTCAAAGCTGGCCTAACCGTAGGGCTGTCTGACTGAGCCATGTTTTCTCGTTCTTTTAAAAGTTTCGAATTTAGTTTTGAATTGGCATGTTAGAATTTGTTGATGTGAATTAGTCTTCTATATGAAGTCATAATTACTTTGTTTCTATTTCTAATGTGGCAAATAGATAGGACATAGAATGAAAATAAGAAAAGAGAGAAGAATAGGAGCTGATTTAAGGGCTCCTATTGGAATTGAGCCATGAAAACTAGAAAAATAGGACTTTAAAAAGTAAAGAAAAGACACTCAATCAAGCATAGACACCATAATTTAGATGCTAGTGGTAGAGATGCTGTAACAAAGTGACAATGCCCACCCCAGCACCTTCCTAGAGTGAGAACGCAGGACGAAACTGGCCATGACTCGAGACAGAACGGATGGGCACAGCACAGTCCAGGTCCATGCATGGATGGAAATGAGGAGGTTGCTTCCTTGCTGGTACAGTGATATCAAGCACTGTGCACGTCATCATCAAATCAAAATTCATCCACAAAGACCAAACCAAACCAAAAGGCTGCGCACCCATGTGCCCGTGGATCCTAGTGTGTGCAGTGACCACTGACCACTGCTTTTATTTATCACGAGACGAGGTTTCTTCAAAGTAACTGTGGATCATAGTACTACAACGTACAGGCTCCTCGATGACAAAAATCAGAGTGTGCCCCCTTCCGGGAGGGGAGAGCGGACAACTGGAGCTCCCCGTGAACGGCACGCTGCAATCAGATTGATTGATAATAAGTACTCAATCCATCCTAAATTGTAAGACGTTTGACTTTTTTAACACCAAGTTTGACCACTCGTCTTATTCAAAAATTTGTGTAAAATATCACTTCTTTCATCGTGGTTTGGTTTATTAATAAAAATTCTTCAAGAATGACTTAAATTTGACTATATTTGCACAAATTTTTTGAATAAGACAAGTGGTCAAACTTGAGGCCAAAAAAGTCAAACATCTTATAATTTGGGATGGAGTAGTACTAATAAACACGAGAATCATCCACACGTAACACGTTTATCATCATTGGACCAAAAGTAAATTGATTGATTTTTTCTCTCTCTAACGACCAGATAAAATATTAGTTGTAATTCATTCATAACGTACAAGTTAGGGTCTGCTATTCGATACTAGAGCTAATTGCTGGCTACCTAAAAATTAGCTAAAATCACCTCTAGTGTATAAACTAGTGTTTATGAGACCCTCAATGGCACCTCAGGTTCTGCGTGAGAAAGAATTTTTCAGAATTTAACGGCGATGTGCTTTTGGTGGTAGACGACATTTCCATCGATAGCGAGACGTCTGTGGTGACTTCGTCAATCTCGAGAATTTTCTGGCTCAGTCATTGAAGATGATCATAAGGGTAGGGTTTACGTGCGTACGTTCGTAGGGGTGGATGTACGCGCGTTGTGAGTGTCTGTGTTGTACTGTTTAATTCGAAAAAGAAAAGCAGAACAACTAACAGTTAGGCTAATCTTTTAGCCGAAAAACACGCACAAAAATAAAAGAAAGCTAGAATTTTGTATTTTTTTATTTTTTTCATTTAAAAGTCTTTAACTGATTGTTATAACTAACCGTAGCCAAGCTCCAAACAAGAAGATCGGAGTCTAAGGTGGTGCACGCTGGCTGCACAACACCGCTCAATGCCGCCGCTGCTACGAGCTCTCCATGAGAACCCAATCCACCACCACATTTGCGGCACATCATCAATTCGTCCAAAAAAAAGCCTGTCCGCCATGGGCCATGGGCCATGGCCCCATGTGCTCTGTGTTACGGCCTAGCGTGGTGAGTCCAGTGAGGAATGCTTTATCACGAGTCACTGTCTATCCTGGTGCTCCTAGTCTACTGAACGCACCAGTCTAATAGCAGCAAAAAATCAGAGTGTGGCCCAAAGGGCCTCTGGTTCAGTGGTAGGGTTGTCCAGTGAAACGCTAGTTAAAACCTAGTGATTGCATCTTTTTTTATAAATTTTTCAGAATTTTTAAGGTACACACGCGTACGCGTTTTCCACGCACCGAAGGCGTCGTCTTCTTTGTCTGTGTGCGGACACGCACGCGTGTGTGCGTACGGTGTATGTGGAGTGTGTGCGTTCAAGTTATACTGATAAAAAAAAATTATAGTGTGAGCCCCACGGCCCACCGAAAGTGGGAAGGGGGCAGCCTTATGGCTGATTGTAATCAGATCATGTTTAGTACATACTAGTATCATTTGACGAGTTATGAAAACAATGGTTATATCTACCGCACGTTTATCACCATCCGACCAAAAAAAAATCAACACCCAATGGCCAAATAAAATACTCGTCGCAAACGTCACTTGAATGGTGAACAATCGACAAACTACACCTTGTCATAAAAAAACTACACTTGAATGGTGAAGACTCAACAACACTACACTTACTTTTAAAAAAAAACACTACACTTGAATGGTGCTCTACACATAATTATTATTCATTATTATAGGGTGGTACTTGCAGTTTCTCCACAGAGCAGTGCATACCCTATAATTATTATTCATTATAGGGTGGCACATTGGCCAAACAATCTGGCAACAAATCTATCTGACGATGGTGGAATCAAATCAGAATAAGACCCTGTGTGGAACTTTGGATCCTATGGTCCAAAGTTTAGCAAATAAACTTGAGACTCCAAATAGGAGCTCTAAAGTGTTGTCTAAAGCTTAGCCGATCTCACAAAAACGTTAAACTACACAAGTGAGCTAAGTGGTAAAAAGTTTTAGTCATTAACTTTAGCCAACTAAAGTTTAGAACATTGGATCCACAAAGTCCCTTATATATATGGTCTACAAGCAAACACCATCAAGGCTTGAACAACGTATCAACGCACAACGCTGTCACACGTGACCTTGAAAAGAAGAAACTACAATGA